TTTTTTCTAATTTCAATAAGAATTGTGCTTTAGTTGGACCAAAGCCCACCTATCTCTCTTCTGCTTTTCATCCCACTTAGGAATGGTGATGTTAGACTCTTCATATCCATGGAAGAGTGAAATTTAAAATCAAATCTTCCAGAAACCCATTTGTTTATTACCGCGGCATTGTTAAAAGGTTGTACGTTAAATAGGTAGTTGCAGTTCTCAACATGAATATTATTTCCTTTCTAAAAATCCTGGCCACCATCACAGCTGGTGCTCTTTATCTTTTCACTTGCTGCACTTCACTCTTGCACTAATTGCTTGAATTACATCATTTTTCTCAAGTTTGGCAAGAGGTTTCAGTGGTCAATCGGTCCGCATCTCTATTAGACTATAAATCACTTCCATCGATTGTTGTTTCTGGTAGTAAATTTCAGTTACTTTAAGTCTTGGTGTCTGGACTTCAGTGAGATGCCAATTGTTTTTAGTTCTTCATTGTCAGGGAGGTGTCCACAGAGTTCATTTGCTAGATGGCACCATTGGTGGGGTTTTGTTATTGGAACTGTTTAAAAGAGATGGAATGGGGACAATGGTGGCCAGGTACTCATTTTTTGCAGTGAAATATTTTCTGAATAAATTCATTTTCACCTATATAATTTTAAACCAGTTGCTGGTTAACTACTTTTGGCATTAATTTGGGCAGAATGTGTTCTTTTTTGATAAGCAGTGTCCTCAATGAGGTTAATTTGTCAAGTATCCACATTTTTTTAACCAAGTCAAGTATCCACATTTTTTTAACCAAGTCAAGTATCCACATTTGGTCTGGGCATGATTACAGCCTAGTTGGGATCATCATGATCTTCCAATTGACATTTAGAAATTATTAATACCGAAAATTAGTTTTAATTAAATAATTCTCTGTAGCTGTTATAAGTTATTGTTTCAGTGGAGTTTTCTGGTGCTTGACGTGCTTAGCTATTGGTCTAAGGTAGCTGTGCCTACTAATAATCTCTGGCCAAAGTTACGGTCAAACAAATTGCTTATCTAGAATGCATTTGTGTGAATGATGCGCTGACGGCTGACCTTCTCTGAAAGTTCTTATTCTAGATGTCTTGCATGCAATTCTTGACTTCTCGACTTCTTGCTACCCATTGCTAGTGATCTATACGAGGGAACTCGAATGGCTAAGGTGACAGATCTTTCTGGAATTAAGCAAATAATCCAACCTCTAGTAGAAGCAGGAACACTGGTTCGTAGAACAGATGAAGAGGTGTGCATTACTATTCTATTAGATTTTTGTTTTATAAATTTGAACATCTCATTATATATATATATATATATATATATATTTCTCTCATCATAAAAAGAATAAAATGTTGATCCTGCATGGCTTGTTTTATTTCTGGAATTGGAATCACTTATAAGTGCTTCTCACTTGTTTTGATTGTGCAGCTACTTAAAACGATAGACTCATTTGCTGTGGTGGAAAGAGAAGGTCAAATCATTGCTTGTGCTGCCCTTTTTCCTTTCTTTAGAGCGAAATGTGGAGAGGTTGCTGCTATTGCAGTTTCCGCTGAATGCCGAGGACAAGGACAGGGAGACAAATTGCTTGGTATGATATTGTACTATTTTTTGTATTAACTTTCATTTCCAAAAGAAGAAGGACAAAAAAAAATGAAGTATCCTGTGATGTTCCCCTGTTACGGTTTTTGATTGTTTGCATCTAATAGTGTGTCTATTACTGTCATTCCTGACACATACTATCAAGAACTCTCTAATTTCAATCAAATATCTGCAGATTACATCGAAAAGAAGGCATCCTCTCTTGGATTGGAAATGCTTTTTCTCTTGACAACCCGCACTGCTGATTGGTTTGTATCCTTCTCTTGCTATTTCAAAGTTCAGATAAAATCATGTAGATGATGTATGCAAGCAGTGGCAGAACTTAAAATGTACATTTTTATTTGGTGTGGCCAAACTAAAAAATATAATCACATTTTTTCTGGTGAGCTGGGAGGAGGGAAATTCATATACACTCAGCATGCATGCTGCTCATGCCAGTATGATGGTTTTGCTAATAGTATATATTATAAATCGAATGTAATTTTACGTTAAGAATCTTGTATCTCAATTTGTGGCTACAGGTTTGTAAGGCGAGGCTTCCAAGAATGTACAATTAACATGATACCTGAAGAAAGGAGGAAAAAAATCAACCTATCCCGCAGGTCCAAGTATTACATGAAGAAGCTGCTGCCTTATAAGAGTGGAATTACTATTGATGGATCATTTAAATGAGGTTTGCAAGGCATCCAGGGCCACCAAAATGGTGCTAATCAAGGCTGCAAACAGAATCTCATCTCAATGGTTTGGTTTAGATGGAGAAGTCACCTGCTTCCAAGAAAAAAGGGTTGATCAAAGGATCTCGCATCAGGTCTTTGGAATTACTATTATTGTTAATTAATGATTATAGCCTTCATATTTTTGTGGTATACATCTACTCTCTAATATATGCTTGAATGGTTAACAAAGCTTTCTAGGGGAACTCAAAATTAGAGGGGCCTACAATAAGGTGATAAATATGCTGGGGATTCATTATAGGTGGTTTGGAGAATTGGAGTAGCAAGAATAGGCATTAAAACATAGTTGTCCCATATTCCTGCTTGAAATTCATTCTTTATAAATGGAGAAGTGCAGAGTTTAATCATTAGAGAATGGAATTTGCTGTTGGCGTTATTTTTATCTAGAGTAAAATTATTAATAGTAGCAACACAAGGATAAGAGATGAAAAATGTGTCAAAGCAAGCAACCATTCAGTTACATCTTGCAAGACAAGCGCATTATGTGAGGACGGAAAAAAAAAGGCAAAAATAAAATTAAAAAAAATTGCACCTATTTGGTCCCATTTATTATAATCAGGATATCACATAAGTTGTAGAAGAAATTGTGCAATAAGAAACCCTTGGCATGGGCATTGAAACCAGTCTTATGATAGAACCCAGCAACAAAGACCAGGTGAAATAGTCAAATTAATCTTCCTCGGTTTTAGGATGCCCCTTCCACTTGAAGTTATCTGCATAAGACTTCACCTACAAGAACAATCCACTCAGTGAGACAACATGTTCATGATATCTTACATTCATGTTAATAAATAATGAAAAGAAAGATTTAAAAGATTTAAGAGCTTTAAGCCACGCATGGTGTTGAGGAAAAAGCCGATATGTGGGCACGTGCCAAAACTTTTGAATGCATCAATGCATGATATTACAGAAAATACTGCAAGCAATACTCATATTTTTGCATCTACAATCGCTATATTTGCATCATTGCAATCTGTTCTGGCTGTGCTCAGTTAGTGCCTGTCTCTCATTCCAATATCGATACACAAATCTTCTTAGTCAGTCCAAAGCAGCACTCAAAAAGTAACAGCATCTTCTACCAAGCCCACTAATTTTAAGTTTCCTAGAAAAAGCTTGACCAATAAAAATCTAGAGTTTAGCTTTATGATTACAACTTCTTGACAAGCACCCAAAATATGCCATGAGAAAAGATAAATGTGTGTGAAAGCCATTATTTCCATTTAGATCAAACATTCAAGGCATATAAACACTGATGCATGACAATTGAAACAATGGTAACTAGAACTTCAAAAAGAATTATCTCAATCTGAAATGAGAAAAAGACAAAAAAAAAAAAGAAAAAAGGCCAGTCTCCAAAATATGCCGTTATTTGCAATATAAGTAGCTAAGAATGATATAAAAGGTATAAAATTACTGCCACTAACCCTCAACAACGGTGTCTGGTGCCTCTTAACCTGCAGACAAGTTTAAATATAGTTGATATTACTACCAGAGAGGGAGAATGACCTTGCAAAACGATCAGGCGAATGCAATGGCTAAATAATAGAAAAAGGTCCAAAATTGAATAACAAATCACAATGATAGTCCAAAGAATGAGAAAGACGTGAACTGAGAATCATTTAGACTTGAAAAGAATTAAGTACCACCGAAATTTGATAATTAAAAGGAATAATTTGTTAAGCAATAATAATTCCTGAAGCAATGGCTACAGATTTGCTTTAAGAAGTGTTTCAGAATGACGCAATGGATCTTCATTTCATTTCTTTTTAATTCTTTACCAACAGTTAAATAAAACAAAAATGGAAAAATGAACAAGGCATACCACATATTGCCAACCATGTCTCTCAGCAAATGACTTAGCTGCTTCTTCACTGTCAAAACTGAGTCCAGCATCACCAACGTTGGCATAGGGGTCCCCAGTGGACGTCCAACCCATCAATGGATTCTCCCACCTACAGCATATTGTTCAATGAAAGGATACCACAATCATGTGAACTATTGACTATATTATGGTCACAGGAGCATGTGTAAATTAATAACAAAATCTAACCCAGAATTTGATCAATTTATTGAAATATGTGGTTATATTTAAGAAAAGAAAAAGGTAATCTTGTAGCAAGTAATGAAGTTTTATGGCTTATTAATCCATCATTCTAGAATTACTGCTAGCTTAGTTTTGTTATCAAGCACATATAAGCATACTGGAAACATCATTCAAGGTAACTAACTACCAGTTATAAATCACATGAGTCAATAACCCAAAACAAAAATCACTGCCACTATAATAGATTACTATTCCACTATCAAAATTACAGCCACCAAAAATTTCTTGCACAAGGGACACCTCAGATAAGATCACATACTTCTGTGTTGATAGGAAATTGATCTTCCACCTTCCCACTTTTCCAGATCCTTGTTGCGTAGCAGTTCGAGCAGGTGAGTAAATTACAACCTGCCAGACATGGTTACCCAATTCGAATCAGATCTTTGTTTGGTGTAAACCAGAAAAGCAGATAATACAAGTAAACATGAAAATCAAGTGGCAGTGGGCAACTCCCACATAAATGAATCAACAGTACAGGCAAGCTTCAATCTTTACTAATTCCACCTCAGACTAAAACAAAAATTTATTAATTCCATGTCAATGCAAGCAAATTAACTCACAACATAGACAAGTAATCATCTTTTTATCAAAACCATAAAGGATTAGAACTACATTATGCAAATACAACTTTATCACAGAATGCTAACCAAATGTAAACTATGTATTTTTTTAAAAAAAAATACAGTATAAAATTAATTTGAGTGTCTTCATGCAACCAGAGTGCATTAACACCATTACCATCTTGAAAGTAATATATGGTACTGCTATGCCCACAATTTTTTTTTTTTTTTAATTATTGGGGTATAGGCCAACAAATTGGCTACTATGATAAATGAACTTGTTTCTACTAGCTCCAAACACTAAGCAACTCTATAGTGCAGCAAGAAATACCAAACATTTTTGCATTTCTTATTTTCTTCCCAAATTCAAACCCAACGAAATTCTCTCCTTTTTTTGCGTTCTATTTCCACCGTTCCCAATCCTTATCATGAACAATGGCCTAAATTTATGTGCAACAGCTACCACAGATGTTCCATACGAACAGAAATTAGAAGAATTTAACTCAATTAAAAGAATCACATTGTTCAAAACTAAACCTCAAAGCCCCCCGTCGCCCCAGATAACGAGCCAACGAAAGAATAAGGAAAGGAGGAAAACCAGCAGAAATTATATTGATCCGTCAAAAACAAAACGAAATGGAAGGAAAGAAAAGATTCGAAATGAACTGATTTACTCACCCTCCGACGAAGGTGTTCTTCAGGAATCCCAGAGACCATGCCGATCTCCCCAGGCTTGACCTCAACCAATGCATCTGAAGAAAATGGTCTCGAGAGAGGGCATAGCGTCGTGCGAATCGCACGAGCATGAGTCGTTATCCTTTGCATAGAGTTCGCCGCCATCTCCCTCAACTGAATCTCAGCGTTCGACCGTCCTCTCTTCGTCCCCTGTACCCGTAATCCGTCTTCCTGTTCTTCTCAGCTCAGCAGCGAAGACGAAAATTAAAATAAAACCAGAAAAAGGGTTATTATTATCGAAAAGGAAAATGATTTCCGAAAAGAAAATTGATTTCGAACAATTTTTTTATTTTTTATTTTTTATTTTTATGTGTTATTTAAATAATTATTTTTTTATTTATTTAAAAATTATAATATATAATATATTTAATTATTTAATAATACATTAAAAAAATTGCTGTGCTAAAAAATAACACATCAAAATTATAAAAAATAAAATACAAAAAATTATTTTTATATCTCTTGCCTATCAAATCAAAAAAAATTTATTGTTTTTTTATCAAAGTCAGTTTTATAAATTTATTAAAATATTTTTAATAAAATATTTATTATTATTATTATTAAGTCTAATCCGTTCCTCTTATAGATATTTCCAGTTTTGCTCCTACAAGTTCTACTAGAATTACAAAATAATCCACCCTTCTGCCTTCTGTTTTTTAACCATTAACCCAACCTTCTTTGATTTTTCAACTTTTCCCAGTTTTCAAAATGGTACACGACCTGTTACTTTTTTACCCTTTTTCAAAGTGGTTTTTGATGGTTCATTTTTATGCTAGTTCTACTGGTTCATTTGTTCAAACAGCATGGAGTAGGTTTCAATGGGATGATCATTTGAAAATGATGATATATCAGTTTTAATATGCAAAATAAATAGATAATTGAACTCAAATATATACCCTTTGGGACCAAGTATAAAAAGTAGTCATGTTTTGCTAAAAAACTTCAAGAGATTAGTAATCAGCTGGAACAAAGTGTGAAAACATCAAGACAAGAAAGGCCCAACTAGTTAAGCAGCAGTTAAAAGAATTAAAAAGTAAAAGAGAAAGGGTTGTTAGAAGAAAATGTAAAATCATACTAAAAGTGTGGTAGTGAAAAGTCATGGCAGCAACGATTAACCTAACAAAAAAAACAGTAAATTTTTCTTTAAAGATTTCTCTCCTTTAATTTTCTAATATTAAGTACAAATGAATATATGTTAATTCAACATATCATAGAATAAAAAAAAATTACAAAATGTATAAAAAAATTGTATTTTTATCAATTTTCTTCCTTTAGAATAAAATCTCAATTTCTTCACTCTCCATCTCATTTATAATATTAAAATTTTGTCTCTATTTTCACTAAACTTTGATTACATCATATAATGAACATCAATACTTGAACTTTTTTCTTGGCCCAACATCAATATTTGAACCAACCACTATTTAACAACATAAATTTTCTTTTGGATTTGAATTAATTAAAAGAAATTTCTGACCAAGCTGAAAATGATCAAAATATTATTGATGGATCAACCATGCACCTAACAAAAAAATTTTTTTTAAAGTCCAATTGATCCAAATATCTCGGGGGTTATAAACCGAATTTTGGATAATGATAGGGTACTAGCTTTATTTTAAGAAATTTACGGGGCTGAAAGTTATTTCTAGAAGTACCGAGGACTTTCTGACTAAACAGAGTATTGACTCTGAATTTCACCTTAAATCAATTAAATAATTAAAATTAATTAATGACTACTAACTTAATAATCTCTTATTATACCCGTGATAATATTAAATGAGGGATAAATTTATATATAAATTTTATATATTATATGGATATTTTAATTGTATCTTGCATTACATGTTAAGTTCTATTTATTATAATATTTATAATTAATTTTATGTGAATTTTTACACAAAATTTAAATAAAATATATTATAAAATATAAAAATAAAATAAAATAAAATATTTTATCTTAAAATTTATAAAAAATTATATGTTTGATATGAAAATATATATAAAATTAATTAAAAATACTCTAAGTAATAAAACTTAAAGGTATAAGTTAATCGAAACTCATATTATATATATAATTTTAATTATTTATTATTTTATATTAAGATTAAAATTTATTTTTATATATTAGAAATTATTATTTTTATTTAAAAAATATAATAATTTTAAATAATTAAAAATAAAAAAAAATTAAAATAATTAAAATTTTGTATAAATATAATATATAAAATTTATTTACAAAATAAGTCTACCATATTAAATTCGAAAATCAGTAGAAAACAAGGAAGGTTCGTATTTTTTGTTTTTCGGTCCATCGGCGTCCCATTTTTCACTCTTGGTTTCAACTCTCAATCGTCAATTCTGCAGAAACAAACAGTTCTCTGATAATCTGATGATCGGCCTGTGAATTGCCTACTTCGCAGTGGTTTCTCCGATTAGGTACTCGCCTCTCGTCTCCATCTTTCTCTCCATTATCTTCGTTATTTATTCATCTTTGTTTCCAAAATTTAATGCATAATTTGGTTGTTTGCTTTTGATTTTTGAGATGATTCAATGCTCTTAAGCTGAGATTGTTGCTTGGTTTGATTGGGGATAAACTTGACAGCAAATGCATGGATTTTTCTGGTTTCTGTTTGCTCATAGTTTGTTGCATTGCTATGTTTTGTTTCTGATTTAAATTGGCGCTGGAGAAGAAATGAGAATCTATGGATCAAAATCAAGAATTTCGTGAATTTAGAGCTGATTTGAATTGGTTTCAGCGAGAGAGAGTATGGATTTGAAGTTCTATTTAATATTTGTAGTTGTAATTGGCAGTGGTGATGGGTTTCTGATTTGGATTGAGTCTTTGCATATTTTTTAGCCTTTTGATACTTAAAAAGGTTGTTGAATTTGTAACATCTCATTGTTATAAGGAACAACATGTTATGGAGCTCAAATTCTTGGCAATTGTATCAGACTTTTATATATTCTATATGCTTTTGAGATTATAATTGTGTGTTTTTATACTTGTTATTTTTTGCATGTTGGGACTTGAAGTGCGCAATTCTTGCAATTTCTGTATTCTCCTATTATTGTGAAATAGAGCATCATATCAATTAAACTGAAAATATCATGGTGTATCTTATGTTTGAGATATGCCAGTGAATGTTGAATCATTTAATGTTTGTGACAGGTATATTTTAGGATGCTTCTTGCTCAAAAACAATGCTCCTTCTTGGCTGTAATCATTGGGTCAAAACATAGGCTGGAATATACAATCTGGCAAAGAAGTATACATATTATTGGATTTTCTGGCTGAAGGCATAAATTCAACTGTTTACATCTTCTTTTAATCAGGTTTTGGACTTCTGTTGATGGGTGCCCCTAAGCAGAAGTGGACAGCAGAAGAAGAAGCAGCACTCAAAGCTGGAGTGCTTAAGCATGGGACTGGGAAATGGCGCACGATTCTTTCAGATCCTGAGTTTAGTGATGTTCTGCGTTTGCGTTCAAATGTGGATCTCAAGGTATGTAATCAATCCTCATGCAAGGTTTGTGAATTGTTATTGATAAAGAATTCTTACTTCATTCTTCTGGTTAAACAACCTGAGATTGCTTTGTCTGGATAAGCTTCTATTTATGCTTAATTTTGTGCTAATATTCTGTCATGTTTTTTGGTGTTCTAAGTCTGTAGTTTCTTGAACAGGATAAATGGAGAAATATAAATGCGACAGCAATATGGGGGTCAAGGCAGAAGGCCAAGATTGCACTTACAAGGGCTCAGTTGACCCCTAAAAAGGATGATAACCCTATGGCTCTGATGCCTGTAACCCAATCTGATAATGAAATAGTCGATGCTAAGCCCCTTGCAGTTTCCAGTGGAACACCTCGAACCAGTGATTCCAAAAAGCGAATTGCAAGGTTAGTTATTTTCAAATTATATCATGTTGAACTTACTTAAGTCAACTTGGTCATATGAAGTTGCTACACATTGGACATGGAAAAATGCCAAAAGGCATAGATCATTTCATTTTAATAGTAATTACCAGTTTTATATTTTGATACTAAAAATTGGTTTTTGCAAATGAGATTATTTGAGTAGTTAGACCACTAATCAATCAATAATGAGAACTTGCTCTGCTTTATCATATTTTCCTTTTTCTTTTATGAGATGGTATATAATATTGTTTGAGCCTATTAGAAGATATATGTTGAATAGTAAATAGGATAGTTTGCTAACTAGGTTGTGTGAAAAATGCCTTTCAGCTTATTCAATGAAAAAAGTAACAAATATAGGGAGTGGTTTTTTTTTTTTTTTTGGTGTGTGTGTCTGTGTTGCACATGTGCCTGATTTTGTAAATTTCCATTTACTTTTAGAAATATCCTACAATCAAAACCTGAACCTCGTTCGGTAAGGATAAGATGGAGATCTCGAGTAGTATTGGGTCGAGTAGTATTGGGGCAAACTGGCAAAACAATCTTGTGTTGAAGGCCATGCTACCTTTTCTTTTTCCTTTTATAATTCTTCCAAGTTTATATTGCCTGACTTTTTGGGGATCTTTTTTTAAATTTTTTTTTTTTTTATTTTTTAGGATGGAGAATTTTATTTTAGATGCTATTACGAGTTTGAAAGAGCCAGGTGGTTCTGATAGAGCCTCGATTGCTTCGTATATAGAGGTAAGTTCATTCTTGTGTCAGCCATGAATTATAGAACTTTGCAGAAACAATACCTAAATAACCCATATGGTCAGGACTTACAGTGAACTTGACGAATCATCGGAATGGTTAAAATAGTATCAGAAATTTCTGCTTTCCTGCATCATCAAATTAACTTATCAATTTTCATTAATAGGACCAATATTGTGCTCCACCCAACCTCAAGAAGATTTTGGGAACCAAACTAAAGCTTATGATTGAAAATGGCACATTGACCAAGGTAAGCATTCTGTGAAACTGTGAATTATTGGTGAAAAGGTACCAAGAATTGCCTTTAGACGTGTAGAAATTGTTTAGCCCATGAAGCTAACTGAATCAAAATCTTAGCAGCCTGCTAGCCCAAAATATAATATGCAACATAAACTGTGCTTCAGTAATATGAAAGGTATTTTATGCATTATGGATAGACTTAGGTGATAATTCTCTGCTATGGGAATCATGACAAGGTGTTGCAAAAATGGTTTAGGAGTATATAAATACACATCTATGCTATTGATATTAGATTAAAAAAAAAAAAAATAGCCACAGATGACTGAATCCTCTATGCACAAACAATACAATGTAGATTTCATAAACTAGGTTTTCCTGATGCGTCTTTGCATGTTTGTGGTTGAAGTAAAAATTAATGACATAAAACTGTATAAAAAAAAGTGTAATGTCATAAGTCACGACTAAATGATGTTTGTTATGTTTAATTGTTTACGGTGATAGATAAAGCATAAGTACAAGATTGCACATAGTCTGACAGTTTCTGAAGGAAGAAGGTCCCTCCCACCACTTTTGGAAGGAAGGCGGAAGGGTTCTCCAAGGGCAGAGAAGGAGATCAAACTTCTTACTAAAGCCCAAGTTGATGCAGAGCTGTCAAAGATGAAGAGCATGACAGCAGAAGAAGCTGCAGCAGCAGCTGCACGAGCAGTTGCCGAGGCAGAAGTTGCAATTGCAGAGGCTGAAGCAGCAGCAAGAGAGGCAGAAGCAGCAGAAGCTGAAGCTGAAGCAGCACAAATTTTTGCTAAAGCAGCAGAGAAAGCATGGAAATCTAGGATGCTGGTAAATCCTCTTTAATAACTATTCTTAAAGATATAATCAGATGTAAATTGTTCATAGTTCTGGACGAGCTGGTCTTAGTGGATTGTGTGTGAGGTTAGTGTAGTTATCTAAGAGCAGAGATCCCCTGGTCATAATTTGCCCTGTGCCCCACCTTGTTGATAGATATGGAACTATTTAAGACTATTTGCACTGTGCTCAGTATTCAACCTTTGTGTGTGTGTGTGTGTGTGTTTTTTTTTTTTTTGCAAACCTTTTGTTTTCCACTGTTTGCAATAGTCTCCATAGAAAAAAAAAAAGTTAAGCTTTTAACAAAGACATAGAAACTCATTTTTAGAGAAATTTCAGCCCTTGGGCTTGGCTAGTATTTTGGACAAATGCTACTGCAAAGCAGGGAGTTAGTTTCACTTAGAGATGCTTTTTTCTTTTAACTTTTCACTCTTTTTTTCCTTCTCACTTTATTATTTGTTATAGCTATTAATTATTCTGATAGAACTTGCAAAATTTTGCAGATGACATAAGCTTGTTAGTTAAAAGTCTGAGCTTGATTATTGCTTGAACCATGCATCAGCACTGCATCATGCCGCTATATCTATTATCAGTGTAAATATTTATATTTCAGCATGTAAAGCATGGGACTAGTCCATTAAGGTCTGTATCCTCTCTGAGTGAACTTGTTGGTGGGGGTTTTGAGGTGTTGATTTTGAAGATTTACAGTGAAGAAATGAAGAAAAGGGTACAAACTAGCCAAAGAAATAGAAAAAAATACAAGATTGTGAGATACGTTATATATGATCTGTCTCTTTTGTAGTTGATCCAAATACAATTAAGCTACAATTTTGGTGCAAGCATGTTAATAGGTTCAGATTGTTGTACTTGGAAAGCTAAAATTCCAGTCGAATTCTTCTGTTGTGCAGCCTCATCTTCTACTAAAGGTTTTTATTATTATTATTATTATTATTATTAAATTTTCTTTGTTACTAACTCCCTTTATTTGGAAGCCATTTAAATTCTTGATTTTTTTCACAAAGGAAAAAACAGAGGCATTTTTATGGTACAAAAAATGTTTTAAGAGGTAAGGGTTGATTGCATCTATGGTTCCAACTTTTTGAAAAGGGTTCAATTCGATCTCAATCTCTTAATTATTGCAATGAGGTTCCCATAAACATGAAGATACACTGATGAAATTTTGACAAGATGATGAATATATGCATTCACAAATCTATAAGCCACAACATTTGAAGCCATGGGGCAAGTAACGCAGGAAATAAGTTTTACATGGATATTCCAGAGGTATTAATAACCTCCAGATAAGCAAATCCAGCTAACTCCAAGTTCCCAAGGTATATCCTAGGTTCAGCTCAACCTAACTCTGCATCTTTTCATGTTTCCTACCTCCGCTCTCGAGCATGAGCTTGCTGGCAAATTCAGCTAAGTTCTCAGCCTCCATCAACATCAAGCGACCTTTTGTTTTCAAATCTTTCAACCTGAAGGCATCAATCTCAAAACATGCTTTCCTTGCAGGCACTAAGTCACTGGGAGCAATCTTTATTAGTGATCGGCCTGACTAGCATTTGGAGCTTCTTGCATCTCATATCATTGATGCCTGAATCTTCTTCTTCTTCTTCTTCTTCTTCTTTTCCTTTTTTTTTTTTTTTTCATGAAATAGGCAAAATTAATATGCAACTAATCAAAAAGCATGTCCTAATGCAATAGCCTTTGGAGCGTTTGTGATGAATCTTCTTGTCCAAACTTTACAAGCGAACCTCCTGCAATGAGTATTTATGTTGCCCTTCCTGCTTGATTCACTGATCAAAGAATCCCGTCATGTGGTAGAGTTGTTCGGTAATGGCAAAACTTAAGAGTTAAGAAAATGAAAATCAAGTGGTGGGGATAACTTCCGCTTCAATGGATGGGAAAGAAAATCCCATTAGATTTCTGACTTTCCTTCCATGCTTCCAATATCTCATGTGCAGCAGGCAACTTTGATGTGAGACTACTGCCAGTATCATTGATAGGCAAGTCAGTTTCTGCCTCATCAACATCACTGGAATATCCACCCATATCTTTAGCAAAGAGCTTCTTTACAAAACAATCGATAGGCTCAACAGATGATGCAACATCATTGTTCATATCAGAATTGAGTGGCCAGGAGACAATCTCAATATCAGCAACATTCTCTTCAACATTTCCAGAGTAGCTAGCTGGAAATAAATCAGATGTGACATCAGTTGCCTTTTCAGGAGGATCCAAGGTTACATTACCTGTCATATCTGTAGCACTCAGCATTTTCACACTTCCATTACCATGAATTCTCCTGTTGTTACAAGATTTACTAGTAGCTTCGCTATCAAAGGAATCGAAATTTAAGGGATCTCTTGATGTGGCAGAACCTAGAATAGCTTGCAATGAACTTAACAAGTTTGAGGCTGTGATTTCTGATGATAATTCCGAGTTGCTCAGAGCATTCAACAGTTTCCTTACGCCATCCTGACTAATCTTGTCTCCATTTTCATTAAGAAGGTCAGTCCACTGCTTTTCACTGACTTGAAAAGGGGCATAAGCCATGGCATTTAGCAGGTTCAGAGCTTTCTCATAATTTCTTTGACCAATAGCTTCAATTAAAATCTCAGTAAAGAATAATGAATTAGGAATCTCTCCAGAGTCCAAAAGTGAGTCAAATGCATGCTCGAGAAGATGACACTGCTTAAATACAGAAAAAGTGTGTCAAAAAACTCCAGTTAGACTTTTAGTGGACAATGACATACGGTACAATCAACATAGCCAACAAGAAATCTATAGAAGTATAGAACAATATCCCAAGAACTGGATTTCAAATTATGTGAATTTTTTATTATATACTTTTAAATTTGAAGAGATGTAAAATTATGTCAGTTAAAGACAAAACCTATCACCTTTTCCTGCTCCATTTGTAAGCAACAACTTATGAACAACTCAGAGAAGACAAATACAACTTACCTTCCCAGCTCTAGATGCTTCCACAAGTAGCAACCCATGTTTAGTTTGATCTAGCTGATACCCAGAGAGAACCATCTCCTTGTAGACATACTCAAAATATTCCCATTGGTGTGCACTAGCAGATGCCTCAAGCATCGAAGTATATGTATATTCATCTGGGATAATGGAAGTAAAATTTCCATTTGGGGAAGTAGAAGCACCAGATTTAGCTCTCTTAATTTCTTCAAACAACTCTTTGGCATTAGGAAACATATCATTTTGGCCATAAACTTTTAGCATGACATTTATTGTTCCTATGTTGGGTGAACAATGGTCTTTCATGTGTTGAAATATAGATATACAATCATCAAAATATCCACTATCCAAGCAAGCCATTATCAGACCAGTGAATGTAATCTCCATAGGTCTCCTATCAGTGAGTTTTCTAATCTTGTCCACCTGCAGACGTTTATTATATAAAGTTACTTCCTGAATTTATGGTATCAATCATAAAGTACAGCGAGAGGCTGCAATACCAGAGAAGCATATATTCTAATATAAAGCAATTGTTATAAAAATTCTTTATGATAAAGAAATCATAACAAGGAACCACAGAATATCAAATAAGGAAATCATGTCAAACTGATACAGGACAACTCAGATTGTCTTGCTTAAAAGGTAAAAAACATTCTTGTAGTCATGTAGTTATTCTATTTATAGACAATTTCTCATTCTCTATTAGAGTCTTGCCCCTAAAAGGTTGGATATATCACAGGAATAACAATTGAAATTAAATAGTATGCCTCAGCTACAACTTTTTATAGCTAACTAATTAATAAAATTTTTATCCTAGAGCAACTTTAACGAGTCTATCTTCTACCCTACCCTCAAGTTAGAAATCCAAAAAATTTTAAAAAAGAAATCCAAATTGGACATTAAAGAACTTACAAAAAGAAGGGAGAGATGATCTTATTTTTCTCCCTTCATTTCCCTTACACTTGAATCCAAAAATAAATGCGTAAGGTTTGAAGTCAAAGACTTCATATCCAATAAACTTAGATAAAGCCACAACTAAAAGCTCAAAAGTCCAGAGAAATAAACTTACCTCTGTTAGAGCATCTTGCCACCTCCCGGTGCTACAAAGGCAACAAGCTAACTCATAATAAACACCGGCTTTTCCAACTAATCCCCTCTGTTCCATATCCTGGACTGCTGCCACAGCCTCTTCAATTTTTCCTTCCTCCCAAAAAGCTTTCACTAGAACTGGAAATTCATACATAAAGAAGTACAATAAACATCTCTTCAATAAATTAACTAAAATAAAATCTCTTCAACATTCAGAGACACGCAATGATGCACACATGCAAAATACTAGGCCAGTGAGAGAGTTTAATCACCTCTATAAGTAAGTGCTTTTGGAGCTTCACCACTTCTTTTCATTCTTCTAAACAACTCGTGTACAAGATCATACTTTCCAGATTGCAACATTACCTTTTTCAACAAGCACTCCCTGTAAGACTCGCGTACAAATTTGACTTGAGGATAAACAATTACATATCTACATTTTACAGAAACAACTCATATAACCCTATGAGTCTGGGGAGAATTGAAGTTTATGTCTAGTTTTTGTGCTAATTGTAAATCCTTTACACTAATTACAAAATCAATGAAATGCCATCCTTGGCATATTGCTAATAAGAATTTGTAAAATGATTGAAATATTGTGTACATCCATGTATAAAAGGTTCATATCAAAATCAAATTTAGCAGCTATCTTGATTATACTTTGACCAACATCTGCTATATAAACTTCAGTGAGCATTAAGGCTTAGGTGAGATAAAATTGATCATCTAACATTTAAACTTCATAAGTAGAGAAAATCAGCATAACACTGCTCAACAACAACTAGTAAAAGATATCATAAGAATTTGTGATAAATAGTAGCCTTTTAATGACTGTGGTTTACTTCATGCTTCCAACTTCAGAACAACACTAGGACAGTACGACCCAAAATGAGATTCTTCAAATATAGTGCAGGTTACCTCCATTGCAAGCCCGTATGTTGCTCCATTAGGTTTCAGACCAGTCTTTCTCAATTGTTCAAACACCCAAGAAACACCCTTCCATTGTTGCAGTGGAACACAAGCATTCAAAACCTAGAAAGCAAGAGATCAAGTAGTTGAATCATCAATATACTGATTGATAAATGTACAGAATTTACCTTTAATAGCAGACACATGAATAATCACTTACAGCATTATATACAACCAAGTCAGGTTCAAGCACAGGATCCCAGTTCTTGTTGTTCATATTTTTAATGTTTTTAGTAGGTTTCTTCCTCATGCTTTCAACTATGTGCATAAGTTCTTTCAGAAGCCCAGCCTGACCAAGTGTCACAGCAATGCTATGGTATGTAGCCATATCAGGATATGTAAGGCAGTCTCCCTGGATAATTTAAAGAGTAAACATCAATCCAGTAAAATTGCAGACGTACTAAAATATTCACAAAGAACCTCATTGTGAGGATTATTACACGCATTGTATTGAAAACTTGCAGAGCTTCCTGAGGCCTCCTTGCCTTCCCAAGAACTGACAATAGTTTTGTGTAGACAAACCTATAAAAAGAATCAATCTGTTCATAGGATGGAAGGTGTCCTTTAAACACACATTCTAATATCGAAACTACATAGTTTTCGAGTATGTATGTTTAACTCACTGGATGACAACAAGACTTTTCTTGAGTTCTACAGGCTATGCTAAGGCATCAGTTCAATTTTAATTCAGAAACCTAAATCTTGTTAAATTATTTGATGCTACAAAGGAAGCACCTGCAATAAGATTTTGCACAATCCTATTATAAGGTAGCAAGTCCACAAACTTGCTCTATCTTGATCAAATTCATAATGGTTACTACAAGTCTACAATACAAATGCAAACTATAAAAGAACGCTCACAAATAGTTAAATTCAACAAAAAGCAATCAAAAGATTCTAAATTACCTGCTCTTTAAACCTCTATGCTCCTTATCACGATAAACCCACTCCACAACAGCCATTGCTTGCCTCCATCTTCCGTTCTTTCCAAGTCCCTCAACAATCCTAAGCAACTGCCCTTCTGTAAAGGGCAATCCCGACTGCTTCATTATCCTCACGAACTTCCAGTGCCCCTGGGTTATCTCTCTCTCACTCAACCTACAATTTACCAACACAACATAATCACTCTACTTCTAAGTAACGAATTAGTCAGCCACAAATTTATAGCATAGAGAGAAATTCAAACCTAACAACAAGAATCCGAATTGCCTCTTTCTCACTGCCCCACCGTCTTGCCGGATCCCACGCTCGCTTATCTCTCCGTTGCAGCAAATCCTTACCTTCCACCTCGACATCATCATCCAGAACCCACCGCAAGTCCTGCTCGAACATCTCCCTCAGTTCCCCAAGACTTTCTCTCTTCAAACTCTCCCCATCGAACTCCCTATCTCCGCTAGCAAGCTCGAGCAACTTCGCCTTCTCAATTCTCTCCCATGGCTTCCCAACCAACAAAAGGGAAGAGCTTTCGCTCTTAGTTCTGCCATCAATGGCTTTAGTGAAGCGTTTGTACTCCCGCTTTAGGGTGTGGAAATGGGATTCTTCGGCGAGGGACTGCAGCTGGGAGGGGGAGATGGATGGTGTTTCGTACTTAGACTTCTGGAGTTTCCGGTTGTGTTTCTGAATTTCTTTCTTGCGGAGGGTACGGATGATTTTGGGAGTTGGAAAGCCACCCTTCCGGAGGAGATTGCGTTTGATTTTCTCGACGTCTGGTTCGAATTGCGACGGTGGAAGTTGAGGATGAGGAGAGAGAGCGGTTGAAGCTTCCATGGTTTCAGGTGAAGTCGAAGTTAAAGTGCCGAGTTTTGTCCTTAGTTATCCAGTATCTTATATCTAAGTTGTGCAAAAGAAAATATCTAGGGAAACAAAAAGTCTCATACTTTTCTCAATAGTTCAATTTAGTCCCTAGTGATTTATTTTGTTTAATTACGTTCTGATTCCAAACTACACCTAACATTCTAAATTATTCTATTCAGTCCATAAAATCTTAATCATTTTTTTTATTATTATTAATAGTTAAAATTTAAAATTTTTTTAAAAAATAATAATAACAAGATAGGAGTTGCATTTTAGTATATCCCACCTCATATACTCGAAATTTTCTTCTATTTTCTTTGGAAAGAAAAAGAGAGAGATAAGGAAAATGGAATTCACAACCAAAACCTCTCATAGGTCCTTTCTCAACTGAAAATATAATTTAATCTTAATGTACAAAGCTCAATAAGACAATATCAAACAGTCGGCAAATGAGAGAAGGAATGCATTCCTCAAATTTAGAATTCATCATTGAGAACAAAGCCTCTTAGTTCTTTGATTTGGAATGCTTCACAAGCCAATCAATAACGGAGTCAATGTTCGTCGAGTTCTTGCAAGAGATCATGAAGCAGCAAACTTCCCGGTCTGTGATCGACTTGAGTCCCCTGCACGGTAATATCTCATTTTCAGTAGGAAGAATACTAGTATTTTTTTCAGGACAAACATCATTAAAACCATGCAACCTACAAAGGAATATGTTTCATATTATTTTTTTCTCTGTTGAAACCCCAAAGGGTAAATCCAGAAGAATTGGTTTATTTTACTTACATTTCTTCAGTCAATGCCTGTTTTGACAGAGCTCCTGGTTTGTCAATCTTATTCCCTAACACCAGTAGAGGGATACCGTTAAGTGAGGGCTTACTAAGCAAATCATGAAGCTCCCTTCTAGATATGCTAAGGTTGTCAGGATCAGCTGCATCAACCATATAACTGCAGGAAAGATAAGAGTTAGAATAATTACCAAGTTCCTAAGAAAACCAAAAGTAAATTCATCCAAGTCTTTGCTGAACTCAATGGCCAAGTCTTACAATGTCCTTCCCAAACATATCAGCCGCAAGTCATCATGACAACCCAAAAAACAGAAAGAACTTGAAAATACGATCCTTGGGATCTACCTGTACCACTAAGATAACAAACAAATAATGCCCAATACGCATCCACTAGAAGTACAAAACCGAATATTTGGATTAACAATAGAACACTGAAAGTCTGCTTTGCAATACATATTAGTTTAATGACACATGATAAGCACAAGCTCCAATTTATGAAATTATAGCCATGAATTATTGTTAGCAATAGCACTTTAAACTAAAAGTGATCAGAAGAATACAATTAGCAAATATAAAAATTGATTTACAATCAATTGTAGTGCAATCAGTTAAAAGTTGTTCTCAATCAAAGAAGAGTATTGGTTCCTTACACGATAGCAGAAACAGCACGGCAATATCGCTCCCACATACTACGAAACCTAGGTTGACCTCCAAGATCCCATAATTTTATTGTAACATTCCCTTTTGTCACTTTTCTCATGTTGAATCCAACCTGAAAATAAGCCATTTAATGACAAATGTTTATGCCAAATATGTGAAATATTCCCAATTTTCAACTGCCAAAAGCTAATGGCAAGGACAAATCACACAGAAAGATACAACTCACCGTAGGGATCATGTCTTCACTATATCCACCAGTCTGAAAACAACACCAAGAAGCACATTTCAAGCGTGTGAACCCAACAAAATTGAAAGAAAGAAGCACTTGCTGATAATGGTGTAATCATAATATACTTACTGCAACAACATTTACAAGTGACGTCTTTCCAGCATTCTGAAGTCCAATTAAGGAAAGCTCCATTTCCTGCTTAAAGAAGAGGCTGCAATAACATAGCAACAGTGTGAGCCAATTTAATGTCAAAGTTGATCCATTAAGTTCAACCTAGAAAACTGATAATAAACAAACAATTGTTTTGAAAAGTTTGTCATTATACTCCTCCCATAACAACTTACAACTAAGGTACATAGACTAAAAAAGAAATTTAAATGGACATGGAAATCCACTCTAGACAAAATAGTATGTTCAGGATTCACCACTCTTAACAGATACATATATGTTTAGTTGTCTAAACCCTCCATTTCTGAGAAACCTATAGATTTCTCAATTCTAATCCAAAACCGAATATATCTTCTGTCAGGACTCATGAAGCTGAATCATTCTAGATAACATGGTACAGATCCAAATTGTGAACCAGAAAGATCAGAGAGCAAGCTCTTCAGAATCATAAAAATGCAGCACTAAACTTTCCAATAACTATTAGAATGACACCAGTCCTTAAACATAGATATCAGATACTCTGATTGTCTGCTAACGTCGAAAAATAGAGTGCTAAACTGACTATCTAATCATTACAAAACGACTGGAACATAAAAATTTAAATTAAATATCTTGACACCTCTTAAAAAAAAAAAAAAAAGAACAACCACAATAGAAACCAAAACATCCTTTTCAAGTGAAAATTAAAAAAAAAAAAAAAAAAAAGAACAACCACAATAGAAACCAAAACATCCTTTTCAAGTGAAAATTAAACTTCTACAACACAAGTCCGGCAAAGGAGATCATAGACCCTACAATATAAAACTCTAGCAAATCATGCCATCCAATTAGGCTTGACGATGTAGTAAGCTACATTATATGTGGTGCTAAAACAGTAAAACTCATAACTTTTCAACTCATCAGCATATGATCCAATTAAAATGAGTTGCACCATTAAACATGGAGTCATCAGACCACTTATTCCCCACTAAATTGAATTTTAAAAACTGTAATGCCACAAAAATTCTCTGCTCCTGCAATGACTAACATGTTTTCCCTCACCGAACCTATGTACTTATCAACAGATTGGTGTCATATTCTGCAAAACATTAAGGTACAGGAATAAAGAAGAAACACCATTCCCTCCTCCTTGACAACAATGTCCAGTATGATATATAAGCATTATCGCACAAACATGTTCCGGCAATAGAATTCACCACATACCCTTCTTCCCCCAACCAAAAAAATGAGAAAAGAAGCAAATTTGATATTTCCCCACCCAAGAAAGCACTCCCAAAAAACCCCAATCATTGATTCACCCCCAATTTCCAAACTACAACTCCCTCCCATGAATCACCAGAAAACCCATGAAATCAATAATGAAGACATTGCAATCCAGAAAATTAAATCAAACTTGATCAACGAGAAAAATGAGAAAGAGGAGCTAACCTGCGAAGCCAATTAAGAAAAGCTTCCCACAAACCCATTGCCGATCAAATCCAAAGCTTTTTGCTGTCACAGAAAAAGAACCAGAGATCCCTACAATCCGTCTTCAATTGATCTTACTCTTTTCCTCCTCTCCGTCGTTCCTCCTTCCGATCTCCTCTGCACATAGAGATACTTCAAATTTAATATTTAAAATTTAAAACGCAGTAGGAAAGGAAGAAACCTAAATCGTAGATTTTTTTTTTTTGGTTTCCCGCCGGTATCCGAGGTTTCGCTTTGATTAATCCGGATCCGACCCGCGTCGCGCACCTGGTGGGTGAGTCTCCTGCATACAAGTAATCGAACTCGAGAACTTTTTTAAACTGAAACAAGTCGCTTACCACTTCATACAACCCTCGTTGGTCCTAAACCGTAGATGCAAAGTAAGATAAATACGGTGGGCGACAAGGAGGCCGCTCCAAATTCAAAAAAATCTATGGATGATCCAGCGGAATCTCAGCCGTCGATCTCAGGCTAGTGTCGTGCTATCGACGGTGGTAGATTTTTGTGGGAGAAACAGGTCCACCGAGGAGATTGAAGGCCCCAAGTTTTGCTTGGTGCGCTCCAAATTGAAGAAGATTCCAAAAAGAGAACTTCGGAGGAAGCAGCGAGAGGAATTAGCAATTTCGGTGGTGGTGGAGCGTGGATGCACGCACAGATTTCGACTGTGATTTAGCGGCTAGGCATAAGAAGCTGGTTGCGTGATTAAATTTTAACAATTTTAAAATTAAATTAAAGGAAAAAATAGAGTTTTAATTTTAAATTATTTTAATTTTATTTTATTCAAATTTAATTTAAATTTTAAAATTTTATTTCATTAATTATTAATATTTAAATTAAAAAATTGATTAAATTTTTAAATTTTGAATTAAAATTTCAATTTCTAAATATTAGATAAAATTTTAATTTTTTTGAATCAAAATTGATACGCATTAATTTCTTAAACTAATTAGTTATAAAATTTTTAAATTGATTTAATCTACTAACATATCATTTTTTATGAAACCTACTATTTGTTTACATCATTTTTTGCAACAAATAGAGTAGTTTCACGTGTCATTTATATTAAAAGGAATTTTGTTTGTTAAAAAATTGTTGTTGACATAGATCTCTCCGAACAAAGGTCAATGATTGTTTCCACAACATCAATAGGGCCGCTCGTTTGTTGCAAATTTGCAAGAGTATAATCGGTAGCACCAACAAATTAATCGATTTGATGTAAATTTTATGTTGTAATTAGTTTTCAAGATACTATAACAGATCTCCAGCATAATGTCAAAAGGTGTTTACTGCTATAAGTATGTAAAGAAGAAAAAAGCAAGGAAGACCTACCTCTCACACAACTAGCTCAACACTATCTACATTTCAATTTCACAAGTAATGTCTTAGGGTACATTTGGAATTGCTGTGAAGTAGTGTGATTGTAACTACAACTGTGGTTGTGGTTGTGCTAAATTATGTTATGTTTGTTGGCCCAGATGGCAACCCAAGAGGGGGGTGAATTGGGTTTCAAAAACCTTATGCAATTTTTTGAATAAAGCAATGATCAAGCACAAGCAATCAATAAACTATTGTAAACTAAATTGCAAAAATTAAAAGAGTAGAGTAAGAAATATCAAATGTTTTGATTTATCCTAGTTCGTCACCCTCTTTGGTGCCTATGTCCATTCCTCGCGTTTCCTACACTCGAGATTTAATCTACTAACACTAGTTTCAACGGGTGCTAGTGAAACTGATTACAATAGCTTGCTGGTGCTATCAACCTTTTGAATCCCTTGTTACATATCTCTCAACCCGTCCTATACCTTTTGAATCCCTTGTTACATATCTCTCAACCTGTCCTATACCTCAAGAATGGATTCCTAGATCTAACAAGGTTTCCCAATCCCTCTCTCACTTATTACAATGAAAAGAGAACAAGAAACTTAATAGAATTCTTTAAGACACAAGGTAAAAGCTTAACACTCTTGATTTTTCAACTTCAAGGCTCTGTTCTTCTCCCTTCTCCACTTTTTCAGATCTGGTTTTTATTGCTCGAGAGTGCTAAATCAATGCTTTTTACCGTTGGAGGATATTCTGCATAAATACTTCAAAAACTAGAATTATACAGTAGAATACATTTTTTGGTCTTGATCCCCCACAACAAAGGAAACATAATCATACAATTAAATGGATTTACTCTCAAAAGGAAACACATTCAAATTGACAATTAATTTCTGGAAATAAATCACATATTCACAATTAACTTTTAATCCAAATCAATAACATAAAATAAATATTCCAATTTACATTTGTTTTTTTTTT